TTCATGGAATTTATCTCGAGTGATCGTGATAATATGTATTCAAACCTAGATATATGAGTTGTTGACTATTAATTGGTTGTACATTGATAGTACGAAAACGCATTGGTAGCTCCATGTTATAAAACGTGTTGTTGTGTAAAATTTGATGAATAGTTAGTACAAGCATATATTGTCGAAGTTTATCTGTTCCTTTTAGTCCTTGGAGGATTAAAAGCGATATCTTGGGCCCCTCGATGATTTTGTTTTGACTTATGTGTCGGGCCCAATCAGAAATAAATTGATGTGTTCGATTAAGTTCTATGCCAAACAAATCGGAAATCGGGAAACAAACTGCTGGACAATAATTATGATGTTGTTCCATGTATTTGTCCGGCTGATATCCTGAACACAGGATTATATGATCACTCATCTAAAATGGAGCGTCTCGTTTCGACAGAGGCTTTTAAGAGCTATGATTGCTAGTCGGTGTTCTAAGTCGTACTTGGAGTTATAGTTATTAGACTTATCCAAGTGGGAGACTGTTGGATTTAGTGTCTAATCCCATAACTATAACTGGTATGTACTTGACCCGAGAGTAGCATGGTCCATTTGGGTTGCATGACACCGAAACAAGGATGGACTTTTGAGAAGAGGATATTTATGATTTATTAATATATTATAAGTTCTAATATATTAATATGAAATCATAATATTTAATTATTATTGATCAAGAATTAGTTTGGAATTAATTTTGTGATCAAAAGAGACTAATTAAATATAAGGGGTTGATTTGGTAAATAATTCATTCTTACAAGGTGGGCTAATGATCCATAGTTCTTCATGTTGGGCTAAACCCATGTGGTGACCCATGGATACTCCATGGAGGTTTTAACCCATGGAGCATGAGGGATATGGAAGGTCATTAGGGTTTACATGTGTAACCCTAGTTTCCACACTATATAAGAGACCCTAAGGCTACAAAAATTGGCACCTAAGTGATAGGAAAAGAGGGATATCCGAATTTTGAGTGCAAGGATTCTTCTCTCAAGTTATTCCATTTGTTGGTAGTGTTGTGTGAAGCATTTGAGGCATCACACTTGGGGTGCTAGGCTCTTAAAGGCTTAAGGAATCAAGCTACAAGAAAAGGTATGTCATTCTACTAGTTTTTGTATTACATATACCTTATGATATGCTAGTTAGGATGAAACCTTGGAAAAATGAAAGTTTGCATGCATAATAGAGAAAACATAGATCCAAGGTTTCTAGGGTTGCATGTACACCTTAGGAGTGTTAGAATGCTCAAAAGCCTTTAGTTGCGTCATCGTGGACCATCTTAGTACATGATGCGCCATATTGATTCCTTTGTTGTGCCATGTTGATCCAAGTATACCTAGAAGATGATAATGCTCAAGAATGTTCCAGAAGATGTTGCATGGAGGATTGTGATTGGTTGACACCTTTCATGGGCATATGGGCCAATGGGCTTGGCCCATTAGGGTTTTAGGCCTCATTCCTAAAGTATAAATAGGGATGCATGGTAGGTCATTTTTTATCTTGAATTCTAGAGTGATAGGCGAATCTCTCTGTGTGTGTGTGTACTTGTAACCTCTGTTTGAGAGCTCTAAAATAAAAGTATACGACCCTCCTGCCCGTGGACGTAGGTCACCTTGACCGAACCACGTAAATATTATGTCTTGTGTGCTTATAGTTTTGCTAGTTATCCGCTTTATTTCCTAACAATATATATTTTAAAAAACTTAAAATTATGACACGCAAAAAAGCATGTCGTAAAATAAGTTGTAAATGTGTACTGTAATTGCGTGTCATTAAATCCCCTGTCATAAATGAAGATGACACACAGTTTGCGTGTCATAAAATGCGTGTCATAAAATGCGTGTCATAAGTTTATGGCACACAAACGTGTGTCATCTTCCTTTACGAATGGGGCTTTAATGACATGCATTTGCGTGTCATCTGACCCTTTATGAAACACATTGCGTGTCATTAAAGGGTTGTTTTCTAGTAGTGGTGGTTATTATCAAATAATATTCCTGCTGATACCATCTCGCGAGCTCCTGAGCGGATGATCGTCGACCACGAAGACGAAGCTTGTGCTGATCCCTCTGTTCCCCCGCTCACTCTAATCCTCCCATTTTAGGGGATCTACTTCCGTTTCCCCGGTAGAGACGTTACATTTACACCCGTCGGGTGACTCAGTACCATGACACATACATGAGGCATTTTGATCTTATTGATCAATCTATTGCTGACATTCACGTTGATTTATTTGCAAGAAACACCTCCATTCAACAATTGACACAAATAATACAAAATAACCATTTTGAGGTTATTCATTTATTGCGGTGTTGGACCCCCCGCGGTCAATCTCCGCCTCATCCTCCGTCTAATCAGTAGGTTGCCCTACCCTCTCCGAGCATCGAGGATGATGCTTAATCTTAAGCCTGGGAATGAGTCTTTGTATATTAGGTTCTAGTTTCCTCATGCATTTCATCAAAAACATTTAAAAAACCCAAAAATATTTTGCTTTTCTTATTTTCATTTTTTTAAGTGCATCCATTTCAAAGCATCTAAAGAAAATCACAAAATATTTTCAATCTTTTAAATTCCTTTGCATTTCGCATTGTAAATCACAAAAAAAATGCAAAAAGATTTTTTTTTCAACTTATTCTTAGTTTGCATTTCATTAAAAAAAAAAAGATCCAAATCCAAGACATCCTAACCTTCTAAAAACAGTCGAGTCGGTATGTGAATCGTATGATTTGAGATTTGACTTGCTCGTTTTTCAATATAAATTTAAAAAGCAATATAATCATATATGAACACGTCCCCTGAAGCTACTCGTGCAAAACAGAAAATGAAGAAGTTCTCAACACCGAAGCATAATAATAGGTATAGGTTGGACTTTGGAACTTACGACCGGTCTTATTGTTTGTAAATGCTCAATTATAACCAAATTTGAAATTCCAAAATAACATAAAAGGAATATAAAATTTCAGTGACTTGAACCTTTAAGCACTTTAAAAACTCCTTTCTGTACCTTGCTTGGGGAAATAGTTTCTAACTATACTTACGGGTCCTTGCGTGTTTACAACAGTCCCCAGAAAAATACCATAGAAGCCTCTCGCGGTAATAGATTGTGAGATGTCCCAACAGTAGAAAAGTCAAGGACAAAAATATAAAGAGTTAGGTCAAGTAAATAACTTAAACATGTAGATATGTACTCTTCCCTCACGATTGTACTCCTCTGTTTATGTCATAGTACACCCTCCTTGTGAACACCATCTTGGTATGTCGCGTCAGGTCGACATTTAAGCATGAGTACATCTTCTGATACTTTGAAAGTGCGCCCTTGCGAATAGAACTTCAAAGGAGTTATGCAAGGACTAAAATATAAAAGAGTTAGAAAAAGAAGAATGGACAATTCCACAACAACATGTAGGGTTGTTCATCAAACCGCATAAACCACACAAACCGCCTACACCGCACCGCATAATACGGTTTATGACTATCGTGGTGCAGTCAGCAGTTCGTAATTTCTTCAAACCGCACTATGTAGTGCGGTTTGTAGTTTTTAATTACTAAATTATAGTTTAAACTGCACCACACCACATGATAATATTACATACATGTGATATATATATATATATATATATATATATATATATATATATATATATATATATATATATATATATATATAGGGTTGAGATCGGTTGAGAACTCATAGTTTCCCGAGAACCTAAGAACTAAAGGTGGAGCGTTGGATCAAAATCAAATCATTAAGGGCATGATCGTCATCATACCAATCCCACTTAATTTTTTGTATTATTGGAAATATTAATAAAAAGCTCTCAAATTAACATTATAAAACAAAATTTTGGATTTATTTATAAAAAAAATAATTTTCGTTTTTTTTTAAACTACAGATTTTTTTAACTTTTTTGGAAAGCATAAATTTTTAAAAAATTTGAATTTTTTTTAAAAACTGCAATTTTTTAAAAAAAAACTACACTTTTTTTGAAAAAAAAACTATATTTAAAAAAACTACAAATTTTTTAATAAAACAGTAATTTAAAAAAAAACTGTAATTTTATCAAAAAAACTGCATTTTTTTCTAAAATACTGCAATTTTTTTTTTAAAAAAGTGTAACTTTTTCAAAAAAAACTGCATTTTTTTCTAAAAAAACTGTAATTTTTTTAATAGAGCTGCATTTTTTAAAAAAATATAATTTTTAAAAATCAGTAAATTTATATAAAAAAACTAGAATATTTAAAAAAAAACTGTAATTTTTTTAACAAAAAAAAAAATCAACATTTTAGGTGCATATATTCATATTTTTTTCAAATGAATATATGCATATTTCTTATACTATAATATTCGTAAGTAAATCATAAAAAATCTCATTTTTATTAATCAATCTATAAACATAATAGTACAAGTATTTTATTCGATACAAAATAAAATATAAAAAATAAAAAATGCTACTAAGATTCACAATGTTATCATTTCTTCATATCAAGATTTTCATATTTTCTTCAATTTATCACTTTTCACCTCTTCAATATTTTCAACAAATTCTTCAAAATCTACAAGAAAATTAAAAAAATTTGATTAATGCAAGAACACTCACAAAAATGCACATGCATAAATCATATAAGATTTACATGTGATTCATATGTGAATTACAAGTGATTTACATGTGAATCACATGTAATTCATATGTGAGTTACACGTTATTTACATGTGAATCACATGTAATTCTTATGTGATTCACATGTGATCTACATGTGAATCACATGTAATTCATATGTGAATCACTTGTGATTCATATGTAACTCATATGGGATTCACTTGTGATTTACATGTGAATCATGTAATTCATACGTGATTCACTTGTGATTTACATGTGAATCACATGTGATTTACATGTGAATCACATGTAATTCATATATGATTCACTTGTGATTTACATGTGAATCACATGTAACTTACATGTTAATCACATATGAATTACATACCATGACCATTGAAAACACAACCCTGCAACACGCATCAAACCAGCTGAAATAACTTCAACAAAAGCCATGAGATATGATCTTTGAGGGGAAAGACCAGCAGTAGCTACTGACAACATGAATCCTTCCAAATTACATGGGACAAAAAAACTCCCAGATTTTATCCCACTCCATGCTTTTTGTGCCACCTCATCCGCTTTCATTGCACCTGATGATGCTGCTATGATGCTTGTCAAACGTGGCTTTCTTTTATTCTCTGTAATAAATAACCACAAAAAAATGTTTATTTAAATTTAATATTCTTTTTCCATTTTTATCCACACAAATGAAAATGCAAAGAGCAGCAGTTTCTAGAACCTTCTGCAAGACCAGGTGTGTCTGTGTCTGGAGGGAAGATAACTGAAACATGAATGTTGTCAGCAATCACTTCTTGTTGCAGAGCTTCTGCTAAACCCCTTAGCCCAAATTTACTAGCTGAATATGATGTATACCCATAAATGCCAACCTAAAAATAAAAAGTTTATCAAGAAATTTAATATAATGATCCTTCAAAGCATTAAAAAAAAGAATAGAAATATTAGGAGTTGATAAGCTTAAAGTGTAGAGTATCTATGAGGTAGTTTGTACAAGAATTTTGAGAGCATATCCCTAAACCACACAGCAGATGTCTTCAAAGCAGCCAATGATACAACTTAGAAGATGCCTGTATATACATGCTTATGAAGATCTTTACACAAAGTAGAATGACCATTTGTATAGATAAAGCATATTCAAATTGCCAATACTGTAAGAAAATTCATAAGATTTGAGAGCTAGCTGTCATATTCTTGCACATATGCTATCAACTCATTAGCAATTGAACAAAAGATACCAAACAAATGTTCTAATTGCAACAATTTGTACAAGCAACTTCCATCACCAAGCCATTTACCCATTTAAGATCGCAATTTCAATTCATAAACCCTAGCTGTGTGGTGGCAAATATCGTACATTACTACTTAATCGGCCTGAAAGTAACAAAGCTTGAAGAACACACACACTGACAGAATGTACCTGACCGGCCTGAGATGACATGAATGCGATCGAAACTGGCTTCCGATCAGTCCGGCTCTTCATAGCCGGCAACGCCGCCTTAACCAGATTAAAAGTCCCGATCAGATTTATCTCAATCATGTCTCTAATCTCCTTCATCTCCTGATTCTCAAGCTCTTGAGCAACAAACACGCCTTGATTACAAACTAAAACATCGATTGGACCTACACTATCCACTGCTTCCTTAACAATTATATGCTCGTAATCACATCCGGGGAACAGCGGCGCCATCACCGTCGGTGGTCGATCATTGAAGCTCAAACCAATCCACATATACCTATTTAAAAACCAAAGCTTATCTCATGACAAAATTGAACTAAAAAAACGATTCCATTGCCAAATCAAACACCAATTGGACCACAATCAAACTCATCTGTGATCAACGAGATAAAGTCGCTCATCATCGAGGTCGGACAGACTCTGGATTTGAACGGATAGTGTTGCTGCTTCCGAACATCGACTCGTCCTTTGGCTCAGAGACCGGAGCGATCAGACCTCAATCAACGACATTAACAAAGCCGCTATCGTCGACGCTGACGTGATTAAACTTCTGAATCACGTCTTCAAGATCGGAAGATCAGAGGTGAAGGAGAATCGGGAGGCCCGGAGCGATCAGACCTCTGGCTGATTTATTAGGGCACAGAACTTCGAGTGGGACGAATGACGCAACTACCGCGTTGTTCAATCTATCAATCATCGAGGGATCTTCAATGAAGGCGGTGGTTGTTGACAGAGTTAGGGTGGTTGTTGGAGGGAGGAGGGAGGTGGTCGACGAAGAGGGAGGATGTTGTTGAAGAATACGATACATTGAGAGAGAGAGAGAGAGAGAGTATTAGATCTGATTGTTTAGGGACGTGATAATCTAATACCTGATTTATCCTTGTGATATTTGTTAAAAACCCATATACACCATTCAGACTTTTCTTAATTACCAGATTGCCATTAAAAATCTCAGCCCTTAAAAGTTTTGGTCTAATGGTCCACTTTTAGTTCTCGGGTTCTCGGGAATATATGAGTTCTCAAATGATTATTCCTCTATATATATATATATATATATATATATATATATATATATATATATATATATATATATATATATATATATATTAAATAAGATCACACATTTTATGTTCGACTGATATAATTAGTATTTAGTATAACTGTAAGCATTATGTCCGATTTTGTTATTAAAGTATAATAGAAGTACAATTATATTTTTTCAAATTATGTTTTATATGTAAATATTTTGGATACGAAAGATTTAGTAGAGTTATTAAAAATCAAAGAACATTATTTTACTGTGAAGCTTCATGCTATAACATACTAATGTCCTTAATTTAATGAAACAATGTTTATTAAGAATTATGTGTAAAATACCAAAACTTTGTTGTAAATAGACAAAAATGAACAAAAATTAATTTTTAAACGGAAGTTAAATAAAATAAAATAAAATAAATTTTATTGTGTTATAGTTTTGAATTGATTAGAGAAAACTTAAATTTACCAAACCACATAAACCACACTTAAACCGCAAAACCATCCACACTAAACCGCACCGCATAACGCGGTTTAGCACTTCCGGGTGCGGTTTATGGTTTCCAAAAGTATCAAACCGCATATACGATACGGTCTACGGTTTTGACTTAAAACTGCACCAAACCGTACCGCGCACACCCCTAGCAACATGTGTTGCATAAATCAATACAACTAGATCCTCTTGGACTTGGACTTGACCTTATAATATTGGGACTGATTGTTAACTACTATGACTCGTGTAAGTGGTATGAAACATGTAAGCAATCAGGATAAATCGTAGGGAATTTTGGGAGATTTTGAAGATATCAAATCATTGCAAATAATTCTTTATTTCCATTTGTAAGCATTAAACAATTCAAATTCCATTTTTTGGTTGATTTGTTCTTATCCATGTGTAGATAAGAAACCCTAATTTCCAGTTCTTGTTCAATACATGTTGATTGTTTGAATTGAAACATATGGCTTGATATTTGATTTATGATTCTATTTTAGTGATTATATTCTTGTTTAAACTAGAATCCTTGAATTTGATTTATGTTTGATTGACTACTTATATGAATTGAATTTTTTGTGTAGTTAATTAACTTTTAGGGCACCTAATCGTTGTATAAAGTTAATGATTGGTAACAAACAACATGTTTCTTATTGTAGAACGTATATCACATGTTTCACACTTCCGAGCATATGAGAAGAAAGGAACATTGGTGGGAAGCTTGTACAAAAGAAAATGCACTTTTTCAATACAATCTAGGAGCGTGTTTAGGTTGAATTAGTAAAACTAGGTTTAGTCAAAGAGCGTGTTTTGGTTAGATAATTTGGCAAGCGAGAGGTATTAAAACATTTTAATATCTTTCAGTACCAACTTAGAATTTCAATCATGAATTACATCAAGTCAAAATCAAGTTAAATAACAAAAATTGAGAACTAAAACAAGAATCATTTCAACAACTTGCTTAAAAATCTGTTTCGTTTTCTGCATGTTTTCAAAGTAGATTGTTATTTACATTATTTCAGATTTTGCATGCAAACCCCCCTTTTTGTGACTAAAGTACCTTGTGCAAAGAGGTATAGACTTTTGTTCCGTGTCTCTGAGGATCAATCCTGCTTATTTTGTACTACTTTTTAGTGCATTGAAACAGTATATTTGGAGTCTATTATACCATATTATTTGTTGGGTTTGACACCCCTAACAAGTTATATATATATATATATATATATATATATATATATATATATATATATATATATATATATATATAGTTAGTCGTAGTTAAATTGAAATTATAGCAAAATACAATGTGTACATACTCTAATACATACACTACCTACTCATCTATTTTTTTCCTTTGGAGATTTAGCTACTAGTAAGGGAATTTTGGTTTTTCCTCGTAGATCCAAATTTGTTTTTTCCGTAATGTCTATTTGAATGTGATGAAAAAATGAGGACTGAAGTTTAGTTTGTTATGTGGATTTGGTAGTTTATGTTTGATTGATTGATTTCTTTGTTTATTTGATCCGTTCATTATTGTTTTAAATTTGTTGAAGAATATCGTCTCTTTTTATGATGTGGGTGTCCACACACAACTTTTCGACATGTACATGTCGAGCCTACACAATAGTTTTCATCGCTTTTCCGGTACTCGGGGGCGGAATGACGAATGAGATTTTACCTGATTCCCTAAGTTTATGATTGATTTGTAAATGTTTAGACATTTTTAGTAGATTGAGAAATGGTGCGGGAATGTAATGGTTTTAACAAGTTTATATAATATTTACATTTCTATATCTAACTATCTAAGTACATATTTTGGTTTAATACATCAGAAAACATACAACACATCATATCAAAAACTTAACAACAGGGGCGGAACACCAATACAACAATTAAGGGGGCCGAAATTAAAATTTTAAACACTATCTCATAAGCATGTTTATTTTTATCCAAAGCTATAATATGTCAAAAAAAAATATGACAACTAATAAGGATATCCTTACTTTTTTTTTGAAGAGTAGGATATCCTTACTTTGTTCATCAAAGTGTAACTTATTTTTCTTTTTATTCTGAAACCGTGTTATATGAGGCTAGAATGATATCTCTATTGTAGCAGTAAAAATCAGGAGAGTAAGTATGAAGCTAACTATTCAACAAATAAGATTAAATGTAGTTGCTCTTCTAATCTTTAATTATTGATATAATACTTAAATTGATGTAGACTATTTATAATATACATGTTGAATGATGTCAATCTCCTAATATTAAAGTTGCATCTTACATAGTAATTTTTCATTATCATTGTAAAAATTTTAGAACTTTTCTACTAATTGATATATCGCCATAGTGAAAAAGCTCATTAGCAGTAAATGACATCATTGGATTACTACTTGAAATTATTTGAACTTATCATAGGATTAATAAACCTATATTCTAATAAAAATTTATAAAACATTAAGAATAAAAGTAGAATTTAAAATTTTAATTTTTCAAATCATATATACAAAGAAACGAGAAGGTAATTCATTTGATTACCCATTTATATGTTGATGCATTAAATCAACCAAACAATTTTAATTTCTGTCGTGATAACTTATTATTGATAAAATACTATGTAAACGTAAAAGAATGAGAAAGCACAATATATCTGAGTGTTTCTAATATATTTTTATAGAGAATTTAGAAATTATTGTGATAGAAAGGTTAGGGGTTGTTTGGTAGCCTCTTAATTGAGAAATTAAGAGGCAAACTCTTAATTTTTCAGATTCAGCATGTTTGATAGCATCTTAATAAAAACCTCTTAATTAATCAATAAACTCTTAAAAATTCAGACCATGTCTGAAATAAAAAAAGACATGCGTATCCCTCTTCTATTCTTTATACTCCACGACACTACTGCCCATTCTTCCTCCCACTCCGATCTTCAATGCTCCTTCTGCCTCCCTCCGCCAGCGACACCACCGCTGCCAGCCTCTCCAGCGACACTGCCGTTGCCACCCTAGCCATCGTCGCCTTCCTGTCTCTCTCCGACCTGGTGCTTCAACATCTTCCCGTCGCTTCCTATCCCAATAATACTCATACCTTATGTTATACATCCATCCTCCCCTCTACCACCGATCGGTTCCCTATTGTCATCATTCTCATCATTCTTGATTTTCGATTTTGGATTTGTAGGTTTTTATTTTCGATTTTCTTTCATTTAATAGCCCAAATGACCTGATGTAGGATTGGATTCAGATTAGGTCATTTTTGGTTTATGATTTGGTAATTGCTCATGTGATTTGTAGGTTTTGTGTATGGATTAGAGGTGGATGTTTTTTGTTTCTTATTTGGTTATTGCATTGTAATTAACTAATGATGTAGATTGATAGAAAATTGGCTGAAGCATGAACGAAGTGTTGTTGTTGTATTCTCATGGATATGTTTCAATTACCTTGAATTCTACATTTCCCATTCCTTATCTTAATAAGAAAATGGACTCCTTTCCTTACAGGTCAATTACCTTGATTTTGTGATTTTTGTGAAGTAAAGGTATGTTAGATTTTCTGATTTTGGTGAAGTAATGTATGTTTAATTCTATGATTGTTAAGATTAAATTGAAATTAGAATGCTAGAATTGGTTATAGTTTTTCAAGTACAATGTATTAATAAGAAAAATGTAAATGTTGAAAGTACAATGTTGTAATTGAAATAAATGATATAGAAGGGTAAAATGGTCATTTTTATCATGCAACACAAAAATTCAGAGATTCCAACCAAACAGCATGTAAAAATTCATACCCTTTTAGAAATTCAGACCTCTTAAAAATTCAGATCTTAAAAATTCAGATCCTGCCAAACAGCCCCTTAATCGAGTAGTTGATTGGAAATGAATTTATATAAATAACTTATATACATTATGCATATTAGGATAAAAAGAAGGGGGGCCTTGACCTCCCCAGCCCCTACTATGTTCCGCCACCGCTTAACGGTTTTGAAAACCCATAGCCTAAATATCCCTATGTGCTTGGGCCACCCACAATCCCCAACAAATAAGAGTTATACGTTCAAGAAAGGCAATATATGTAGCCTCCAATTAATGTCCCCTTTATTTTTGATAGACAATCATAAACTAAATATTATGAAAACATACACACAAAACCCCTTACAATCTCCTAATGTATTCCACTATTAAGGTACCCATTAGCCTCATTCCACCATCTAATCGACTCCTCCTCATATGTGGGTCTCACTAAGTTCGACTGCAAGCCCTATCAATGATCATGTATGCTTGTAGTCAATTAACATGTTATCTAATTAATTAAATATATAAAATCCACATTTAAGTACATATAATCTTATCTTTAGGAATGTGACTATATATATACAAATTACAGAGGAAGGTCCTGTGATGGATTTCCATTAATTAACCCTAAGGTAAGATGCCCTTTTTGACGATTGCAACAACACCCAAGGATGTCTCACGACTCACATATCCATATTTATCATTAATGTAAAATGAAGAATATCATACCAATATCAAATTGTAGTTATTAAATAATACTTGATGTTTAAATCATTTCATCATACCTTGAACGCGTATGACAATCCATTGACGGTGCCTTAAAATTCACAATTGCAATATGTCATCCATCAATTGCAATATGTTAAGTTTTTAACTTATGTTATTATTATTTTCTCAAAAACTGACGATTTCAAGATATTACAAGTCAAAAAAGAATTCCAGGATCCATCTAAAACAAAATATATATTGGGAATTTACGATCCCGACTAGGATCTTAAGATCCTAATCCGATCCCATCTCACATCTTTAATATTCATTATATAACTTTGTCTCAAAATTTCATCCATTCAACTTGAAATTTTGAACATCATATGCCAATTGTATGACACTCATTTAATTCCAATAGTGATCTTATGTCTTTATTCGTAGCCACAATGATCTTGCTTTTCTTTTCCTGCTTAGATACTTTTTTTTAACCGTCTACACCAACAATATTTATAGTTCAAACACAAAAACTTAAAAGAGCTCCACAATCTATCTTAATCAATACGAAGTTATAGTATTTATGGAGTATATTTTTTTGGCCTTTATTGATATCACGGTCTTTCAAAATATATCTTCTAACATAAACGTGGGGTATAAATTTAAGATTTTTTTAACGGTCTACAGCTACACAGTTCTACATACCCACGGATAATTTTTATTTTTCTATTTTTTTTCCTACTCTTTAACATAAACCGTGTGTCAATTATCTTTTATATGACTTTTCTTTAGATTCTAGTCATTGATGAAATGAAACATATTACAAATTCATATTTACAATTAATTGAATATTTTATTGATGTTTGTTATCTTTTTCATGGTGTTAACGATTTAATATTTTTTATTTATTAATTGGCAATTGCATTGTATTGTTGTTTTATTAGTTTTGTAATTTTGTGTGTTATATAACGTGTTTGTATTCTTATGTGTAGGACCAAAAATTTGTAAAAAATAATCACTGCTCTTGCAAAGCTACTTTAAGATATACAATTTCAATGATAATAATGGATCGAGTTCATGAAGAATCGACCAGTCGACAGTCGACATCGGTTTTGACCTTGTGGAAATATCGCTTAGTTGGTGAATGTATAGGAATAGTGAGACTTGATGCGTCAATATCTTTGAATTTAACTTTAGTAGTGAGAGTTTTTTTTATAATTGTAGGGCCCTCTTTTTTGGTTTGGATCGACCCTGAACCCACCCTTGAACGCGTGGCTCACGATTTTTACGAATATATCATACAAACTTCCTCATAAACTGATAAACACGTAGTGAATATACCTGCAACAACCCAACAATGGTGAAAGAAGAAGAGGTGATTCTACTGAACTTATGGGCAAGCATGTATGGGATGAAGGTCATGATCGCGCTTGCTGAGAAGGGTGTTCATATGAGTACAGAGAAGAAGATTTAAGGAACAAGAGTCAGCTTCTCTTGAAGATGAACCCGGTTCACAAGAAATTCCCGGTTCTCATCCACAACGGAAAACCGATCTGCGAGTCAAACATCATTGTTGAATATATCGATGAAGTCTGGAAAGATAAAGCTCCATTGTTTCCTTCTGATACTTACGACAAAGCTCATGCGAGGTTTTGGGCTGACTTTATTGATAAGAAGGTAACTTTTGACCTTTCTTGATTTTTTTTATCTACTGCTATTATATTTATCAGGGTTTATAGTTTGACGTTTTGATTCCCTCCTTCAAGACGATTGTAAACAATTTACTTTTGGTTGTCCTAAATCTTTTGAACGTGTGTTTTGACTAATTTTCAACCCAGATCTACATATTTCATTATAAAACAATTCAGAAATCATGTGGTGATTTCCAGTGATTGTAAGGTGTTAAAGGCAGTTCAAGAACTTGTAATTGAAAAAAAATCACAAGATGGCATTAATTACTCATGAAGAATGTTTTGGGTGTTTTCCTTGTTTTGATTTCATTTCTTAACATAAACAACTCAAACCCCATTTGGTTTAATTTGGGTATAACTTTGCATGCGTGATTCTTTCTTTCTTGAATCCATGACTACATATTCAAGAAATGCACTTCCTATCAAACAAGTCAATGTTGTTAAAATCTTGTATTCAAGGGAAATGGTCTTAGATTATCGAATCTTTTGTCTAACATTGTATAAGGAAATGTAGATATACCAAATTGGGTGGAAGTTGTACACAAGAAAAGGGGAAGAACATGAGGTAGCAAGGAAAGAGTTCATGGATTCTCTTAAACTGATTGAAGGAGAGCTTGGAGACAAGCCTTACTTCGGAGGTGACAGTTTCGGGTATCTTGATCTGTCTTTGATACCATTTCATTCATGGTTTCATTCCTATGAAACATATGGGAAATTGAACATACAACAAGACTTCCCAAAATTGATTGCTTGGGGTAAAAGGTGCTTTCAGAACAAGAAGAGTGTGTCTAACACTCTTCCTGATTCGCTAAAGGTCCTTGCTTTTGTTGAATACTTTAGGAAAAATATTTAAACTCGGTGAATAGAATTTTGAGGTATCAAAGCCATGATGGTTTTGTTCAACACGTGTATCGGATTTGTGTTGTTGATAATTTTGCTTTCTTGATAGAAAACACTTGGATGTGTTTGTCTCGTATGAATAATGAAAGTTGTGTTTTCAGATGCATTTCTTGGTATGCTTACATTTTGCAATGTGTATCTATATATATATGGGAATGGTTACATATTTGTGAGATTTGAATCCACTAAACAGAAGCTGGTGTTGGGGTTTTCTGCGGGAGTCAGCATGATCGCGACAGAAGAGGAGGAAGGTTATAAGGAGGGAGGGAAAGATGATGGCTAGGGCGAGCTATATAGGGTTCTATACCATAAAGGTTTGTATAACTGCTTAACTTTGTCATTATTCCAGGTGTGGAATTATGGCTTTAAAATATGACAAATTCACAATACTTCAAGGACCATATGTGTAAAAGTGGAGTTGGTGGCCTAAATTCAATCTGTTCTGAACGTGTCTTGTGGTTGGCAGCCTCTTTGACAAAAGTAGGGTAGTACGTAAGACTCAAATTTACCCACACTTTCTCTTTCTTCTTTGTCAAAAATTACAGGTCCATTATTACATAATAACTCCATTATTACATAATAAATGGATATGGTGACTTTGTCACAAGAAACAGAAAGTGCTTTAATATACGGGTGCTAAATTGGCATCCCTTACACACCACATAAAGTGAATGGATAACCGGGGAAATAGTTGAGTTCCCAAATTCGCAGAGGGGGAATGACGCAAGCAATGACGTAAAAAGCCATTAGTGAAGACACTTGTCCTTTCAATGTGGAAATGATTATATTAATATTGTGTCGATAGAATTATTTGTATTTGTGGTTGTATAATTATTGTTTGTATGTGTCATAAAGTTAGTGTCGGTTAGAAATAAAATAAAGTGTGTAACCCTCAATAGTCTAGGGGGCTATAATGTAAATATATATGTCGTATTGCAATCAAACGATTGCAACTCAATTATGTAATCGGCTCTCTTGAGCCTATAAATAGGGCCTTTGCCCATATGAAATAAACAAGTTAAGTTTGAGTGTTTAAGACTTGAGTTGATCTCAAAGTTCTTCCTCTGTTGAAATAGTCGTTCTATTTCTGAATAGCAGAGCCCTATCCAAACATAGTCATATAATCATTTCATACAATCCATCATCAATCCATCCCGACACATCATACAAGTATAATCGTATCCTAATCTTTATATTTAATTCCGTCATGTCGTTAATTTTGGTATCAGAGCTAAGTTTCGTTCTTATCATTTTTATTATAAATATAAGTATTCATCCGTTCGTTCATAAGAAAAAATATTCATCATACATCATTATAAATGTTATTACATTAATACATATCATTTATCATACTCATCTTTATTTGTCATGCATCATCATTATTATGAATATGAATGTTCATCGCTATGATCAAAATCATCATAAAAATTAATAGTCATGATAAACTCTACTATCACTATCATTTTTAAAACTATAAAATTTTATCGTAATTTTGATCCAAAACACAACTAAATTATTGTTCTTATAGAATTATAATCATGAGTTTTCAAGTCTAGATACAAATAAACAAGAATTAAAATTTTTTCGTAAAACACTGAAACAATCTAAAAAATTTCTTTTAAACCTAAAAATAGACTCTAATATATCGATAATTAATTGCATTTCTAATATTGAAGCAATACATATTATAGATAATAGTATAAATTGGAAACAAGAACAAATAAAAAACCTTGAAGATAAAATAACAAGATTAATTTGTTAAATATGTTTCAAAAAATAGAAAAATCACTAATAATAACTACTCCACTAGTAAAAAGAAACTAAAGATTTCATTTACAAAATACACACAATTTATTAAAATGGAAACTTTACAAGAAAAAGTAGAAACATTAACTAAATTATTTGCAGCATCGGAAATTCCATCCGAAATTCAAGAAAATAATACAGAAATAGAAAATAATTCAGATAATAATGACGTAGAAGTAATATATGATTTTTCATCCGATGATGAAAACCCATATTCAAATCCATATAAAAATTCACAAAATAATTTTGGATTAAAACGAAAACAATCATATGTTGAAGATGATTATCAAAGTCAATATATTTATGAACCACCTTCATTAGAAGAAAATTTTTTATATAGACAAGGAATGGTTAAAAATAAACAAAATAAATGGGAAAAAATACCTCCTCAATACATACCTAAATTATTTACATTTCCAACAAATTCAGATATTCTTTTTATTGATTGTGATCAAAATCCTGAAGCGAAAATTCAAGAATGGAGTAATAAAATGGGAGTACAAATTCAATTAACTGAAGAATTAAGAAATTTACACCCAACACATTTTCTTAATTATATCATTCATAAAACACAAGCTAACACATATCGTTTTCTCTCATCTCTCGATGAAACCGAAACAATGATGATAGCTACTATTGATGCTATGGAAACATTTAAAAATGTATTAAGTCGTCTTATTCAGGAATTCATAGGAAAACAAATTGAAGATAAAGTATCACAAGAAGCTTTTCAATTAGAATCATTATGACATTTAACTAATCTACGAATTTGTAATATGTGTTATCTAGATCCGTTTATATGCGAATATTCTGAACATTATTATAATTTAGATTCCACTAGAAAAAAGGTAGCATTAGATATGTTTTATAAAAAAATACCATCATTAGTAAGCCAAAGTGTAATAAAAGATTTTCAAGAAGTTTTACAACAAAATAAAATTGCAGACACTCTAGGAGCACGAATAAGCATATTAAAAGCACGGATGCAAAAGAAATGCTTAGAACAAAAAACAACACAAGACGCAAAAATTGATTTATGTTGTGACATCCTTTCTAATAAAGTTAATCAATATGGTTGTAAAGATAATAAAAGACAACAATATAAAAAGAAAATTTGGAAAAAACAAACCTATAAACCTAAATATAAAGAATATTATAAACAAGGAAAAAGAAAATATTTTCGAAATAGAAAACAATATAAACAAAAATATCAATCTAAAACAAATTATTGCCCATCGAATAAAAAAGATTGTAAATGTTGGCTATGTCAAGAGGACGGACACAAAGCTTATGAATGCCCAAAAAAGACTAAAAAAGAAAAAGAAACAAACCTATTAAAATTTGCATATGATCTTGGATATGAACCGATAGAAGATTCAGATATAGATTCAGACATATATATATTTATGCATATACAACTGATTCTGATTCAGATGCAGATACATGATCCTATGGAAAAAGTATTATTGGGATTAGAACTTGAGGGAAACCTCATATCTAACCCATCCAAAATATACATTGCTAAAGCATACATTGGTACGAAAATACCATCTGAAGTAAACAATGATAAAGTATACAGTGATATGAAAATATCACCAAAAGCATACAGTGATATGAATATATCACCAAAAGCATACATTGATATGAAAATTTTCATATCATCATTTAAAATAATAAAAGCAAACAAATATGAGCAATCATACAGGTACCCAAAATGCGTAAATATTCAGACAGTAGACATATTGACATGGAAGCAATCATGAAGCAAATACAACACCAACTCAAACAGAAGCAGGAGCAAAAAGCATCATTAATTAGACAGCTTGAAGCAGTCAATCGTGAAGAAGAGCAACTACAGCAGACACTACAAATTCTATCATCTTATTCAGTATCTAAAGAAGAGGCAGCTAGCAGCTCAACAACAAAGCAACCAAAAGAAGACATTCAAGAAATATCATCCGATGATAGTCAGTCACAAACAATACATAAAACAGAAAACAACCTATGACACCAAACCAAGAAGAATATCCACCACTTCAAGCCGATCATAAAAACATAAAGAAATGGTATGTGGTTTTCAATGGAGAAAACAAAGGAATATATGACGATTGGAGAATTGTCAACTCATATATTCTTGGAAAAAATGTCATTCACAAAAGTTACAAAACAAAAAATGAAGCAGAAGCCGCATACAACGAAGCATACAAAGCAGTCATAAAAGATAATGTCGAATGTTCAAAAACAGTTCTCCTTACACCACAAAAACCCATATCCAGCTTTACCCCACAAAAACCTGTATCCATCCCAAAGTCTCTTAACCAATTAAACGCAAAAATTGCCCTTGAATCCATTCCATCAACAAAAGAAAAGAAGCCATGAAAAAACCAACTACTCAAAAATTTGCTAAACTATGGGATAGTCTCATTCAATACACTGAAGTCCATTCTCTGATGGGATTTTATCCAGTAGCCAGGCGTCCAGGCCCCAAAACAGTTTTTCTAGCTGATTTATCAGATCCTATGACTTTATGGGATTATTTTATCCATGGATTTATTGACACAATTTATTTAGAAGGCACCAATCTCCACTGCATCAGTGAATTTCCATCCGCTGTACAAACCATAATCAGAAACTACAAAACACGATTTGCGAAACAAGAACGAGGATTATTTATCAAGATGCACTCAAGCTATCCAATTTTTGATGAAAATTCTCAATTACTTATTCCAAGCATCACTTTCGCAAATATGGGAATAAGCAACGGCTCGAAACCAACAAAAGATGATCTACCTCATGAAACACCAACACAAGATCATCTAATTTTTGCACTAGCCGGTGTCTATCTAGCATCATCTCACATAGGCAACGGAAAAAATCAAAAATCAAGAGTCAAAGTGAATTATGCCAGTAAAACTTTCGTTATCTATTCTCTAACAGACAGTGAAATCACTCCAGAAGCATTAAAAGCAATTGAAACTTTCGAACAACCGTTCGAAAAACTTTCTCATCATCTAGCTGAATTACCCGATGATCTCAAGAAACAACTTTGTAAACACATCATGCATGCACCACGACATAATTGTAGTCACTGTAAAGAAAATATCGAAGAAACACCTTTCATGGAAGACTAACGTCAATCATGACCAAAGCACACATCATTCAGAAATATCTGTCCTTTCGGTGGCGAGAGGAATGACGCAAGCAATGACGTAAAAAGCCATTAGTGAAGACACTTGTCCTTTCAATGTGGAAATGATTATATTAATATTGTGTCGATAGAATTATTTGTATTTGTGGTTGTATAATTATTGTTTGTATGTGTCATAAAGTTAGTGTCGGTTAGAAATGAAATAAAGTGTGTAACCCTCAATAGTCTAGGGGGCTATAATGTAAATATATATGTCGTATTGCAATCAAACGATTGCAACTCAATTATGTAATCGGCTCTCTTGAGCCTATAAATAGGGCCTTTGCCCA